TTAACATATTATATTCTTTTAATTTTTCTTTACTATTTTGTTTGTACCAATATATTATATTATTAAATATTTGTTTTAATTATATATAAAATATTGTAATGGACTAATTTTTCAAATTTTTTTTGGTCATTTTACATGTTTATTAACTAGTTTTTTTTTTTTCAAAATGGTTTGTTTATCAGCTAATTTATCAACTATTAGTTAGCTTACCAGTTAATTTGTCAAACATAACCTATATATATATATATATATATATATATATATATCAATTTAAGGGTTTATGTTTCCTTAGGCACGAAGGGAGTACAAAATATAACACTAGAGTAAAAGTTAAATTATTGATATGACATAAAATTGTTCCGAAAACTTCATTTATTACGTAAAACACTTGGGGCATATATAGTTTTACAATTTTAGTCCTTTAATTTTTTTTTTTAATTAACCTGGATATCCAACCTACTATGCAAGCCGACTAATCCTAGGACGATCACTTGTTTTGCAGATAGCTCGGAGTCACTGCATTTGAACCTCCGTGGCCACACGAAGAGTTTTTTACTTCCTTGGATTTGAACCCGTAACCTTCTGGTACTTTTGACCTTTAGAGTCAAGCTCAAACCAATCAGACACCACTCTTATGGTTAAACAACCGTCATTTTTGTCTGTGCTAATTGAGGGATCATCTTTTTCCCATTTTCTCATATTTTAATAGTTTTTTTTCTATGATTGAACGCTCATCTTCCTCACTAACAATAATCAAACCTTATTATCAAAAAAACAAAATCCCTAAATTAACTCTTAAGATTCATCTAAAATCATTTGTTGAATTTCCATCTCCATCTCATCATCGAACTACCTCCCTGAATGTGTTGCTTGTTGACGCCAAAAGATGCACTGCAACGATGTCGCCTTTTGGTCTAGGGTTGGTTCATTTGGAGCTTTATCCATAGTCATCACATATCTGGTTCATTGTCCAGGACTGTGACGTTTTTTGGTGTAGGGTTGCTGGTTGTGCCTTCGGTTTTTTGTTGCCTTTGTTTCCAACCTAGATCTAGTTCTTTGTCAAAAACCATCGAGTTTCTCTCTCCCTCAATCAAGTTCTAATTTTTGTTGCCTTCTTCTCCAACCCTATCTAGTTTTGGAGTTTGATTTAGGTTTGTATCACAGTTTTTTAATTACATTGTACTAAATTGCTGTTAGGGGCTGTTTAATATTTGCTGAATGGTTTGATGTAGAATGATTAAAAGACTATCATGATATAGTGTAAAATGAAATATTACTGTCTGTTAATTATTTACAACGAAATTAGGGCGCTAATTGGTTAAGGGAGACCCACGATACAAAATCATTCATAGGGTTTTAGAACCATTAAGATACATCCATTTTTTTGCCAAACAATATTCTTCTCATAATGATTAAGAAACCGCCTCTTAATGAAACTATTAAGTGATAAACAAACAACCCCTTAGTTTATGGTGTTATTGATTTTGCATAATTTTGTTAAATCCAACTGTATAAGTTTATTCATGTTTTTCATTAAATAAAATAAGTATTTAATAAAAGAAATTAAATAATATTTTAAAATGTAAAAAAATGACAAAAAGACAAAAATACCTCCCGAGTTAGTTGGACTTAACATACGTTATTAGGGCAATCGGGTAAATGACCAAAACCGTGAAAAAAATGCATTCCTCCATATGTTTTACGTAATAAATAAAATATAGGGACCAATTCTGTAAAAAACTCATACTACAGGGACCACATCCATAACTTACTAAAAAATGAAATAATAAAAAATAAAAAAAAGTAAGCCGGAAAAGAAAAGGAGGCAACTTTGAAAAGTATAAAGTCCTCGGCAGAGTCTTCCAACCGACGGACACTGAACGATCGACGTCTTTAAGGAAACACAATCCGAAATTGAAGCTCACTCCAAATCCACATGAACCCTAATTCTTAAGGTATACAGATCGCAATGGCTAGAGTGCATCCGGGGAATATGAACTCCAGAGTGCCCGATGATTATAGAACTACTTCTGATCACCTAGATGATCAACCTCGTAATCACGATTTTGAAAAAAAAGCAAGGGATGCGGCTACCCCTCGTGGTGGCGGTCGTGCAGGCGTTGGTCGTGGTGGTGGACGAAGTGAGTATATCAAGTGTTGTTATGGTTGCGGTGAACCTGGTCATATTGTACGCGATTGTCCGACGGCTGGATCTTCTGCTAGGAGTTATGGGAGGAGGTGAGGTTTTTATTCCCCTTCTAATAAGATTATTGATCCTGTTGATCATAAGACGATTGATTTTAATACTCTTACTGCATAATTGTATTAGTATATTCGATAAATGTGTTTTATGTCTGCGATTCGTTAATGTGATTAGTTTATTGACTTATATTGGGTACATCGAGAGTGTAGGAATTTTCAGTCGAATGTTTGTAAGATCATGATATATAGTTTATGTTCAGAACACTTTAATTTATTTATATGTGCAGAATTGTTCATACTTGTGGGAAGAGCCTGGCATTGTCTTTTAATTTACCATAAACCCTAGTGTTCTTAGGATTTTATTCAGTTTGTTGCTTGCAGCGATTATTGGTTTGTAAGTGTAGTTGGATATGAAAACATAACTTTGCATGATATTCAAATTAAGTGTAGGAATTAGAGGGCCCTATCATATGGTTTCGGTTCCTGATACTTGCTCTGTTCGAAAATATAGGACCATTCTGATATTAGACTTCTATATAAAGAAGATCTAAACATGCTTTAGTGTTCTCCCATTGTAATTGAATTCGTGAACTTTGATCCCAAGGTGTATACCATCTTGAACCTCCTAGATAAGATGATTTATCCTGGTGAGGTTTTGTACAAATAGTCAGCTGACTATATCAGCAAAATATGTACTGATCAGAGAGACGTCAAACACAAGAACGGGGCTATTCATCAATAAGACCAGCTGGTACTGTGAGAGCATAATAGAGTTTGTAGCAGCTTTCACAGATGCCAAATGTGGCCTCATAGTGTTTGATTGACTGGGTAGTGGTTTAGATTGCGGTGAGAAGGATTTAACAAGGCTGCAGCTTCCCAGGAAAGGCAGCACATACAGGTTGGTCACGACACTGAGCACTAACATGAATCAGGTGACATTTGCTTGCGAACGGGCAATGAGGTTGTTAGAGCTCATGGTGGTCTGGGAGTAGGTTTGGCTAGGGAGATGCAGCAGGCTGTTGCTAATAGCTGAAGAATTTGCTAAACTGCCAATCAACAGGAGTCGGGCACTGTTATGGTTAAATTTTGTGAGGGTTAGGTCTGAAGTAGGGATATAAAATCCAGGGTAAAACTTGATATTGGTACCATGCAGGAACCCTGTTTAAATAAGTTAGCGGCTCCGGAGCTGAAGCCTGGAAACCTGACTGTACAAAGTAGAGACATAGCAGAAACCATCATTTACAGGTGAAAAAGCTTGGAATCATTAGCTTTGATTTTGTGTTCTGTTTTATCCAAAAATTTGCTCTAAAACTTGTCCTGTGTCATGTAATCTTTAATATATACCTGTTGAGCAAACATCTCAATCTATCAGAGGGATACATTATCAGCTACAGGATATAAAACTTGATATTGATTGTATTGATTGAAAAATAATAATAATCTGATACACCTTATATAGGTAAAACTAATTACACTTTGGACCCTAGACAATATTAATAATATAAACTAGACTAGTTGACTTAGTCTAACATTCCCCCGCAAGTCCAGCGCGGTTAGCAATCTGCAACTTGGAC